CCCCGATCTGCAAGATCCTGGTTAAATATAAAATAAAATTCTTTTTGCACTAATGATGACGTCGTTACATTGCAAGCTTTGAAAAATCGCATGACAGCCAGTCTATAGTGAGAACGTGTGGTGCCGCCAGAGGAGCAATGATGAAGGTCTATAGGAATGTAAATGAGAGATTGATAAAAATACTAAGAGTCAGTAGTTTAGCATAGTTAGCATAGTTTAACATAGTTTATAGTTAATATAGTTGCTATTACATACTAGTAGTAGTTGACATGAACTGTTTTATGAGTTTATTTAGGAAAATCTGATGGAAAAACATGTCCAATTTTTTATTTTCTTAATTTATGACACAATTTCAATAATTCTATTAATTATTATGGTTTATTGACATACATAACCTCTTAGTTTAGATCTTAGGGATATGAATCTTTTGAAGATACTCCAAGAAATGACATCTCAATAAGCAAAACTACCAATGCTACAACTGGTGGACCATTGCTATTGCAGAGGTCAAAGGGTTAAATATAAATGTGATGGCTACATACATGGTATAATTATGTAATTATGAAAGAGACTGAGGCTTAAGATGCATGTCCCAGCCAAAAAGTCATGATCTATGTAGAAGACATACAAATAAAGTAGGAGCATTATTCTTGTTTTGTCTATGTTGACAACTAAATGTTCAGTTTCAATGCCATATGCCAGAATAAGGTTGAGGGTGTGGTCTAAACAGTATTTGGGATTATAAACACTGACAGAAACCAAATGAATCTAACAGTGCGATAAATATAGTACTAAAGGTAATTATTGTCAACGTCCACATGAATATTAAAATCAACTACAATCATTTCATTATGTGTTTAAAGGACTAAAGGATTTGATAAAATGATTTAATTAATCAAAGTGGTCAGGGGGCAGACGCCATCATTATGGGGTCAGCGTGTAGGACTGCGATTCTTGTCTCTTGGTCAGAACTCTGGGTTGTCAAGGTTTTTGCTCAATAATGAACTCAGTTAGATTTCTAGTGGAATGAATCAGACCAGGGGCCTGTACTACAAAGCAGGATTTCATTTATTTTCATTTATTTATTTATTTAACAGGGACAATGCACAATATATATACTGTACCAGATTTAGCTAAAAGCTAATTCCCATTTGCAGTTCAGTGAGGTAACGGTGGTTCACTTCTTACCGGGAAACTTCGCCTTGGTAACTTACGGTCTAGAGCAGGTTAGCCATTCCGCACAAGTTACGCTCCAGATAAGAGATCAACGCTATAAACAAACAGCCCGCTTATGAATCTTTTGCTATTTGGGCGAAGGTACACACACACACACACCTGCATCGTCTGCATACTTAAACAGTATTGACCACTGTGTCAAAGACTAAGCTTGGGTCACAAGTAGAATTGACATTGAATAAGCAGGCCGTAATTCAAATTTAGAGTTGATGTTTTTAAGTTACAGAACTACTACTAACCTACTACTCACGGATGCTAAAACCAAAACATTTGTAAAAAAAAAAAAAGAATGACATGATCCCATTGTCCTCAATAGCAGCTGCACTCTGAAAAAAGCTAAATCCACATGATGATTGTTTTTGCAGGTTGCCTTGCTGGTAACAATCCCCAGTTAGTGCACTCAGAACAGTTTTGAGGACCAAGTGCTGAAGGCCTTCACTGCAGTTGCCAGTGTATTTCACCATCTGCAGTGTCATACATAAAGGAAAAAGTGAAGGGAAAGTAGTCAGACTTGTTCATTTGCTGGCTGTGTGTGTGTGCGTGTATTATACTCATAACTCATGTTTTAGGGATATAAGGCTGTTTACACTACATTGCAGGGACTTGCCTTCCCTAGGGGAACAAAATGTCCCCAAAATGCAAATTATAAAGATTTAGGGTGAAGACTTGGTTAAGGGTTAGGGGCAGGGTTAGGGTTAGGCAAGTAGTAATTAGGTTTAAGGTTAGGGTAAGTCTCAAGCGAATTAATGTCAGTCAATGTAATGTCCTTGAAAGTGATAGAAACAAGACTGTGTAACTGTGTGTGTGTGTTTGTTGGCGAGAGCAACAGCAAATGAGAGTCTGATATTTCCTGCACGCTCATAGTTGTGGCTGTAAAGAGGGTAGTCAAACTATGTGTTTGTGCCATTGTTTAGGGAACATCTCGGTAACACTGAATTAGTTTTACCACTGCAATAATCGGGAATTGAATCTCTGAATCTGCTGCTATGTTAACTCACGCTGGCCTTCCTTTGTATCAGTCAGTGAGGCCCTAGTAAAAATATGGGCATTCAGTTTTTTCTATCTCCATTCAGACATTGAGAGAATTGTTTCCTCTAAAGCTGATTAGCACTGAGTGTCAATCATGCTGTCCGCCATGTGCTCCCCTCTTTCCTGTTATTTTCTCTTTGTCATTGATTAAAACTTCCAGAGATGAAAGAAAAGAGCAGTCTGACTGCGTGCAAACCTATTACATACACAAAAAAGATATATAACTCAATAAAGGAGAGGGAAAAAGCCAAAAAGCATGACACCACCTCTTTTAGATGCATTAATAAGTAGAGGTAACCTTTATGGTTCATCTTAAAGCGCTGAGAGTTTTCTCGTGTTCTCCGTTCCTCTCGCTGTCAGCGGGACTGTAGGATAGCGAGGTTTTCTTTACCACCTAGTTGTTTGGTGGCGGTGTCAACACAAGCATAGCGTGTACCATGTGATGACTTAGTTCTTTCTGCTCCTAACGGTGGTATCAATAGGGCGCAGGGGTTGTAGCAGACTCGAGCAGTTTCTTTAAGTTGGAAGCTTAGGAATGTTAACATCCAGCCTTCAGTATGGCGCTGGCTTCCGTTGGTGCAGCATGTTGTGATTGTTGGCAGTAACATAAAGTATAACTGATTTGAAATAAAAGCTAAACATAAAAAAACACTAGTTTCGGGAATAATAAGGGTCAACCTATGTAGTCCTGAAACATAATCAATTTTGGTTTACAGAAAATTCTTCTGCCATTGATCATAAAAACTCTCAGGGTGTCCTGGCGGCCCTGGATTGCTTCCAGCCAGTGACCTGTGTTGCATCTTGTAGCCCTCTCTCTCGCTCCAAATAAATAAATAAAATATATTTTTAAAAAACACTCAGCATGTACATCCTGATAATCACCAATTCTTTATGCATTTTAGATACAGTAGATACAACTATATAGATTGTAATGCAGGTGAGTTTAAAAATCAAAAAATATAGATTTTTTTTAACACAAATCCTAGTAAATATATGCTGTTAATCTGATTTTTGTTCTTCTTCAGTGGTGTTAGTAATGATACTGACCAGGGACGCATTAACAGATGGGCTCATTATTATCCACCTCCACCTGCTAGTAATCAATCACTGTAATGAATCCCAGAGCAATTCCAATCATGTCTAGAAAATTACAGTACTAAACATCGTACTTGGTAACTGGCGAAGGGGAACGCAAGCGGATGCCTCTGGCGTATTGTTGGGAAAACCGTGGGCATGAATTTCCTCTCTTTCCACACCCTTTAAACCAACTGACACTAACTAATTGACTTGCAGCACAGCTTAATAAAACTAAAAGCAGGAAAAGCCATCTAGCTGACTCATTATATAGGACATATCCTTTAGAGTTAATTAACTTTTTTTCTCCGTGTCAGACAAGGGGAAATTTATAATGCTGTCAAGGTTAGCAATCGCTCTCACTTTACTGTCCACCTGCTTGATTTGAAAGGAATTTTTCCACCCTGGTGTTGGCAGAGAAACTTATGGATGGGCCAAATCCAGTGTTCACTTGTACTGAAATATATATGTTTGAGAAACATTAAATTGGTTCTAGTGTTCAGAAATCCATAACACATTCCATCGCAGCAGTTCCCCCTCCCATCAGAAATGCAGCTCCAGCATTTTACAAGTAAATGAACAGTGTGAGTGGGTGGGCGGGTGTTCCTGTGTGGGAGATTTTGCACTATGGAGCATATGCCTTTGAACGTTGTGTATTCATGTCTATATTTTTGACTGGTGAAAATCCCACAGATTTGACTCACATGAATGGGCTTGCTGCAGACAGATATGGATGATGTTTACTGATGCATGGTAGTGAGGACTGTGTAGAACTCTATCTCAGATATGAAAAGAAAAGGAAAGCCCCTGTCTCTATTAAAGGAGACAAACCAAGGCTGTTTAGGTGTAAAATGAATGTTTTTAATTGAATATTTAATCTCTCTTGTCATGCTGAAATTGTTTAGCAGCCTTTCCAGTGCTACTAAAAATACCTATATATCACTGCATTGCTGCGCTTAACATGGCAGCCTCTAGGACCTGCGAAAGGATGTAGAATCAGTGAAATACATATTTTCCTGTATTATTTACACACTACAGTAAATTGTGATGCCAGCTGGTTGGTTACACAGCCCTCCAAAATGTATATAAGAATCTCATAAAAACATATAAGTTAACATAACACATAAAACCTTTAGAATTTTTTACCAGCTCTATCATGCAGTTGCTGACTGATAAAACTAAATATCTCTTTCAATTTTCTTTCAATTTCTTAATTTTTCAATGTTCTTTAACATAGAAACAAAGAAGGATCCTGGATAAGAAGCCAGTCAGACATTTAAATCAAAGCTGCAGCGAAAACATAGTGCCATAGTTGTCAGTTAACTTCTCTTTTAAAAACACCCACGTTGCCCAAATTCTGAAGAGTTTATTAGTCCAGTGGAAGTGGCATGGCTTGTCGCTCTCTGTCTCATTTAATTTATGGATGTAATTTCCTGCTTTTTGGGGTCAACTTTTGTAGCTTGCTTTTTGTATCTAGCAGTGCTTCTTGCAAACAGTGGAATTGCTTTTGAAAAAAAACAGCTTTTGAAATCCTTCTGAGAAATGGAACATTTTCCTTCTTAAGAATTATTAAAATGAAAATAGAGTGATTTTCCATACCATTTTTTATGTCCACAGCGCTAACACAAGTCTTACTGAATTTGTTCTCTCTTTACTTCTAGGCCATGGAACTAAAGGGGTGTTCGAGCTGCTGGCAGGCTGGAGGAGAACAAGGGAAAATCTCCCCTTCAAGGAGCGCGTGGCGGATGCTTTTGCTGACGTGATGGTGTGCTACACCATGACCAGTTCACTCTACATCATCACCTTTGGCATGGGAGCTAGTCCTTTCACCAACATCGAGTCTGTGAAAATTTTCTGCCAGAGCATGTGCGTGGCCATCCTGGTCAACTACTTCTACGTTTTCTCTTTCTACGGCTCCTGCCTGGTGTTTGCTGGACAGCTGGAGCAGAACCGCTACCACAGTGTTTTCTGTTGTAAAATCCCCTCTGTGGAGTACCTGGACCGCCAGCCCACATGGTTTAAAACCATGATGAGTGACGGCCATGACTTGTCCACTCACCATGACAGCATCCCGTACCAGAACCACTTCATCCAGCACTTCCTGCGTGAGCACTACACAGAATGGATTACCAACACCTATGTCAAACCCTTTGTGGTTATCCTGTATCTCATCTACGCCTCTTTCTCATTCATGGGATGTTTACAAATCAGTGACGGATCAAATATTGTGAACCTGCTGGCAAGTAACTCTCCGAGTGTTTCTTACGCTCTGACCCAGCAGAAATACTTCAGTAACTACAGTCCCGTAATTGGTTTTTACATCTACGAGCCCATCGAGTACTGGAACTCCACGGTGCAGGAGCACCTGAAGACTCTGAGTCATGGCTTCAACAAGATCTCCTGGATGGACAACTTTTTCCATTACCTACGAGTGGTGAATGTGAGTGCGTCAACCAAAAGTGACTTCATCACCATCCTCAAAGGCTCCTTCCTTCGCAGCCCGGAGTACCAGCACTTCACTGAGGACATCATATTTTCCAAAAACCGTGAGACTGATGAGTACGACATTATCGCCTCACGCATGTACTTGGTGGCAAGGACAACCGAGAAGAAGCGTGAAGAGGTGGTGGAGCTTCTGGAAAAGCTTCGCCCGTTGATGCTGATTAACAGCATCAAGTTCATTGCCTTCAATCCTACGTTTGTGTTCATGGACCGCTACAGCTCCTCTGTCATCTCGCCCATCCTGACCTCAGGCTTCAGCGTGCTCACAATCCTCATCCTCACTTTCTTCCTGGTCATCAACCCCTTGGGAAACTTCTGGCTCATCCTCACGGTAACATCTGTGGAGCTGGGCGTCTTGGGTTTGATGACCCTCTGGAACGTTGGCATGGACAGCATCTCAATCCTGTGCCTTATTTATACCCTCAACTTTGCCATGGATCACTGTGCACCACACCTGTACACTTTTGTGCTAGCCACCGAGCACACTAGGACGCAGTGCATCAAGTTGGCACTGGAGGAGCACGGAGCAGCCATCCTACAGAACACATCCTGCTTTGTGATCGGGATCATGCCCCTAGTGTTTGTGCCTTCCAATCTGACCTACACACTGTTCAAGTGCTCCCTCCTCACTGCGGGCTGCACTGTACTGCACTGCTTTGTCATCCTGCCCGTCTTCCTGACCTTCTTCCCGCCATCCAAAAAGAGACATAAGAAAAAGAAACGGGCCAAACGTAAAGAGCGGGAGAGGGAGCGGGAAAGGGAGAGGGAACGAGAAAGGGAGGAGATAGAGTGCATCGAAGTCAGGGAGAATCCAGATCATGTCACAAACGTCTGAGTAATTTGTAATTTTAGCACTGAATATCAGCGGGTATCCGTCAGTTATTGGCGGATTAGAAGTGTTCTAATGGGCAGGCACCTCTTGAGGTGCAAGGGAGTCCGAGATGGCCCCTAAGGAGTGGGAACTGGTCACTCTCAACCAATAGCAGCTAAGCTGACCAGAGTAGAGCGCAGCCCCACTGGTCAGTCATTCAGTCCTTCAGTCTGGACAGTGTATCTCATTTGTGTATCCACAAACTGCAACATGCTCATGGTTCTGAAGCTCTTTCCCAACTATTTGGTATATAAAAACAATTTAGTTACCAGAACTTGTGCTTGCTAAATCCGTAAGTGAATTCTAAACATACAGTATTAGTCCATTTAAATATTAAGAATTCTATATTCATCTCTTGCGGCCGTTATCTCAGAAGTGAGGAGCATAGCAGTCTTTTAAGCCAAGGACACTCAGACAAGTTGGTGAAAGTGGTTAGTGTTATCATACAAAATTGTACAAATTAAACTGTGCAGGCCGTGCACACACCTTCCTCCTCACACCTAGATAACAGAAACAAGAAACAAAACCAAGTGGAAAGAGAGAGACTGTGGACAGAAAGCACACCACATGCTTTTCTGTAACAATAAAAATAGCTGAACAGCTGAACTGGGCAGATGGCATACACTGTGTCCATTATGAAGAATTATCTTGCACATTGCACTGTGTGAATAGAACTGTCAAAGTTTAAATTAGCAGGAGGCATACATTCCTGCTTTATTCCAGCGGTCATAGAAGGTCTTAGGCAATGGCAAAAGGAACTGCAGTGGGCTGCAGTGTATGAAGAGGAAGTGATAACTGACTGAAGTGCAGCAGTATTTAAAAAGGCAGTAAGCCTGAGTATGACTTAAGTAAACCCTAAACTGCTTTTGTACCTGACCAGTAAAACCAAAAGCGAAGAGTGTTTCCTAGGCTTGAAATATTGAACTTTATAGCAGGTGTATAACAATGAAAAGTTTCTGTTAGAGTATGACTGTCTCTTTGATCCACTTACAAAAGCTTACTGGCATGGGATTGGTAATTGGAAGGTCTGAATGTGATTCAAAACTAGCAGTGGTGCCAAATAGTGTACAGATTTTTTTTTTGCTTGACAAATTTCTATAAAAACAAACAAGTCTAAGTAAGTTTGAACTTTCACAAACATGAGCCATGAATCATGAATTATTCAAGCTAATTGAATGATTGCTCTATAGTGGTGTTCAGGCTTGTGACACAGATCATGAAGCAGGCTTTAAATGAGGCACTTTTTGTAAAGTACACTGTCTCTGAATAGTGTGAAAAGCTAATAGAGAGCCGAAGGGAAACTAGAACTTCGAGATTTGGTCCAGAAGTAAAATAACTCAAAATCACATTGAAGGTTTGTCATAAAACAAATTACAGAAAATCTAGCCTAACAACATAACCTTGCTCATGAGCATGTCATTCACTTCATTTGTCTAGACAGGGATAGTACATTTCCAAAAAATAAACAAATAATACATAAATATTTTTCTATGTATTTAAAGGAGACCTATTAGCTGCTTTTCCAGTCCTATATTGTAGCACTGTGACGCTTGTATGGCAGCTTTGCATGATTCAAAGTTCAAAAAACCATTTTTTTTTGTTATACTGACTCTTCATGTAGGCCTTCGTTTCAGACTTCGTTTCAGACAAAAAAGCTGTAGGTGCTCCTGTCTCTTTAAGGTACCCCTTGTGAAAGCCCACTGTCTTCTGATTGGCCAAGACTTGAAGCATGTTACCAAGCTCAGACTGAGCGTGTGGCAGCACATGACCATATATGGAACACCCGCTTCATCTGACTACGTAGAACAGAGCCCTTGGTAGAAAAAGCAGTTCAAAACAGATCGTTCAGAACAGGAGGAAATCTGAGGTTTTTGCTCATAGGGATGTCTTATAAATGCTTTAACCTCATTTTTGAAACGTTGGCCATGTTTAACATGAACATGCAACATTATAATATTGTAGATAAGTCATAAAATGTGGAAAAGCATAATAGGTCTTCTTTAATATCTTTTATTACCAGCCATTTAGAGGGTAAAGAGCTAGATATGTCCTTCCAGAACTGGTGGAGACCAAAACACAGTTAGAAAAAGAGGAAATATTTGACTTCTATTAGTCAGGCAATCAGAAACAAATTGGGAAGTAAATGCTAATGTTGCACCACTGGTTACGTATCCACTAACTCATATGCCAGAACAAGGTGGTAATTTTTCAAGCATGTTCCACTGTGATCCCTTGTCACAATCACAAAAGGGTTTAAATGCTAAAAGCAAGTACTGTAAAAGACGCTTATTGATCACAATATGGAAAGTAAACCCCAGGAAAGTGTTTCACTTTTTCAGAAAGGCCAATTGAAGACACCCTAATAGATTCCATTGAGCAACAGAAGTAAGTGAACAGCACCTAGCCTGAATTGACATCAAGATTTCGGCGCTCTATTAGAAAAAAGTTAAGGTGCAGACCACTACTAGATCTCTACTGCCTCCTGTAGGCCTTGAGCTGGACTTGTCTATGTTGTAACTGTGTATATTGCCTGAATACTAAAAATAACATTCCATCAAAATATTAATAATAATAATAATTTATATATGATTTGTGGAGTTTTACTCCACAAATTTCTTTCTTCAACAGTCACTTTTAGAAATCCAAAATGGCTGCCATCTCCCCAGATGGTAAACGGTATTATCTATGTGTGCCATAGCCTGATAAGAATCTCTCTTGCTGTCCCAAAACAAACAGATTCAAGGTCAGCAGCACCTACAGATACAAATCTCTCCCTGACCTCTGGCAGGCAGATCTTGGCTGGTGGCATGTGATAGAGAGGCCCCATATGTGAGCAGATGTGGCTGATTGCAGACCAGTCAATACCTTCTTTGGGGATTGTTAGCTCTTAAGGGGCTGTCATTGTAGTGAAACTACTGTCTTGTTTCTTTGTGCTACCACTGAGAGTGAATAGCTCTCACACTGGACAACTAATCTGGCAGTTTGGGGGAGATTAGATTGTTCATGTTGTACCATATTTCATTGAGAAATAGCTGTTGATATTTGACAGTAATTTGAGGGAAGAAGATTGTCATTCAGTGACAAGTCACTAGTTTTAAAAAAGGCTATTAAACCAGCTTGTGTAAATTAATATCAATGAACAAATGAGAGACAAAGGTGGAAAAAATCATCTTTTACCTGTCATACTTTACCACAAACACATTTCCTGCTTTTGTGGAATTAGAAAGTCATTTTAAGTGCTTAAATGTCAATGATGAGAACCATATAACTTTGAGAAACCAAACATTGCTCTACTTAGAAATGAGGAGTTTTTGGCAAGCTACTTCCTGCAGCAGCTGCAATGAACATCACATTATGTAAAAGCCATGTCACCACATCATGTATGTATAGTAAGATGGCATGAAATGTTTGAAACATGGGAAAGAAATGCAAATCTTAAATAATTTACATGGACTGTGTTTGCATGGTACTGTATTGTATGTATGCATGTATTTACTTTTCTGTATGAAGTCTGCGTATTTTTAGTTTTTGCTACTCTATAGAGACTTATGTTTGTTGTTTCAATGCATATTCTGTAACACCATGTGCTGCAAAAGAACAAAATGAGTCATATCTGTTCCAAAATGAAAGCCAGAGGATGTTTCATGTGTAAAATAACTGTAAATGACTCTTTTCTATATTTTCTAAGAAAAGAATATACTATAGAAAGATTTTTAATGACAGAATTTTCTTAAAAAAAGACTAAAAAGGGGAAAAAAGTTGAACACAGTAGGCCAGTAATAAACAGTGGAATGTTACCAGTATACTAGATCGTATTCCTTGCACACTGCAGTGTCAACGTTTGCTGATGATTTATGTTTTTATATGGGAAATTGTGGCCACCATTTTATTGTATGTTTGTGTGTCTTGATGCCTTTCTATTCTTACATTTCAGTGGAGGGAGTTAAGGAAATCGTTCATTACTCAATAGAACAGTCTATCAGACATTGTAATGATCACTTATTACAAAAGCTTTAGGTTGAAAATGTACAGAATATAAATGGAATCTCCAATTTAGGTCTGAAATACATCTATTACTGTTTAGTATACGGCAGATCAAGTTTAGCAGCAAAGAATATTTAGCATTATTGTTAACCCTTCTGGGCCATCATTCCTAAATATACTTGGTGTCCTCTTAGACAACCTATCATTGCTGCCTAGAAAGCTATTGCTGTTATCTAACCACATTCACCACTATTCAGCTGTCTTACAGGAAGCATCATTCCCTATGCCGAATGCCATGTGATTAGGCTACTGCATATTTAAATAGCATCATTAGAAATTACTAGAAAGTATTCTTCTATGGCAACCCACTGAGTCTTACCAATGGGTTATTGAAACACTATGTTATATACAATATTTAACACATATTTATAGTGTCTTCTTTTGACGAAAATTCAGCCTAAAGTTAAGAGTTTAGCGTTATTAAACATTTTTCCTAGTGTAAGCAAATCCCTTGAAAAGGCTAAAGCAGACTTAACTCTGTCTGTGGCGCTCAGCTCCAAGTCACTAAAGACCATTGGTTCCCACTGAATTAATTCATTTGTAAAAACAGGGGCACAAATATATTGTTTTGTTTTTAAATAGGCTGAATGATTTCCTAAAACAGCTGGACACATTTAAAATAAACTACAGTGTGTGTGTGTTCATAGTAAATTTTAAATTAAAATTGTAAATGATAATGAAGGAACATGTCACCCAGAGCAAAGGTGTGGCTTAGTGTCTAAAAGTTTCTGGACAACAATGGAACTCTATGGCACAAAGTAGTACAATAAGGCATGCTTTGGATACACACTCTATACTTATAAATTGGTGATATTAGTGTTTTCGTGGGATTTGTTGACAGTGAGATACAGAATATTGCCAATCTTATTCTTTAAAAGTAGATAGGCCTGGAGTGTTTTGTATCTAAATTTGATGAGGTAGTTTACATGATTTCTGCTCTAAAAACCGAAGCTTTGTATGTTTTTTTTTCATATTTTCATCAGAGGTATTGCTGTGTACAAATATAATTTGACTACTATACATTTATAGTAAAAGTTGAGTCACATTTATTCACCCACTTTGTCATCAAAACTAACATAAATGCATGAATGCATTCTTCTCAAAAACAAAATAATGGTGACCATTTTATCATCATACCTCTTCAAGTGTTGCAGTTTTAAACAATTATTTAATTGGGTCCATTCTGTAAGCTCTGCTATATGGTGTGTTGTAGCCCTTTTGCTACAATTTGTCTTCTGTAGGGATATTATAACTCAAGTGTATGTGATACTGTGACAATACAGCTAAAATATCCATGTGACAGATGGGCTTCAAAAGGGATGTTAGCGGTGGTTACCTCGGAATCTGTTTTTCACTAATGAAAAAACAGAATCAAAATAGAAATAAATGTGAAAATTGTTAGTGGTACTTTGAAAATCCATGTTTGAGCAGGCAGATGTGTGTTCCGTAAGTCTCATGGAGTCCTTTGACCATGCACCAGCACATTTCCAGTTTGTACAACCAGGGACAGCACAATATTTCCACAATACAGGGCAATAAAATTATGCAATCACCACTTCGCTTGTTGAATAATCTACATTTCAACCACAGCCTCAGAGGACAAATTACTGTTTTATTGTAAGTCATCTATCTTGTATGTCAAATAACTGAGCCAAAACATAGGCTCATGTTGGCCTCATTTATCAAACCTACTATTTAATGGCATCTAGTTCAGCATTTTTCATTTTCAGTTTCAACATTGTGCAGAAGGTAACAAGCTCAAAAGGAAGTAAGGTTATTTTAGTAACCAGTCCTACCTTAGTCAAATTCTTATCTATCTATCTATCTATCTATAGGTTTGCGTTGCTGTCAAAAAACAATTTCTGTGCTACTCCCTATCTTTGCCCATGCCTTGTCTGATTTGAATTGTGACCCAAACACTTAGAACTAGGATAATATACATGAGTTTAATACATGAGTGTAACGCTAGTAAGAGTACACTGTGTTGTTTGCTCCTATTATACCTATGTATTTGGAGGGTTCTGTTCAGTTTGATTTTTGTCCCAAAGTCTGAGCCTTAAAAGGGTATACCACTAAATTTAAGAAGGTACATTTGCTTTGTGGTCTCTATGGAAAGTCCAGTCAGTCTTATTAGCATGATGAGCTCTCCCTCAAATCACACAATACCCCCAAAAATAATTGTTACCGAAATGTTCAGAGAATGCCTCTTTGAGGTTGGGAGAATGTTTACATACTACTTAATGTTTCCATACATATCCCTAAAAAAAGTATGTAATGTATCTGCAGCATTCACAGAGACACAAACTAACAATCTTGAACAAAGACACTTCAGATAGAAGTTCATCTATTGTGCAGACCTCTCTAATTCTGGAATATCTTAACTCATTTTCTGTTCAAGTCAGGGTAAGTTAAAATCATACTACAAACAGTGAGCTACGGCTTCAAGCTGCTAAACTCCAGTCACTCCTGCTGAAAAAGTGTGCCTTGTGGAGGAATTTTTCATTTACAAGGACGTATACTACGTAAATTTGCTAATTTGTGTGAAGCAATAAAAAAATCAAAGTGGTTTCTGCTGTATCTTTAAATTGTACCGTATTATTACTCACTCTGCAACATTGTTAGCAAACCAAAAATGTAGCTGTTTTCCTGTCAGCAGGTTTAACTGTTATGCTTAGTCATATCGTGTGGGAGGCTAACTTTATAGACACATCTTTTAGGTTTAAAATTGGTCAGTATTTTTGTGCAACTACATCAATTACACCAATCCAAGGGCAACATTAGATTAGTCTTACATAACGTTTGATACCATCTGCTGAGTGTAATAAACTATGTTGTTCATAGTACATTCTTTAAAGTGAGTTGCTTAACAGCAAAAGTGTCTACAAGTGACGCTTGTGGCAGAAAGGTTAATTATGGTGGCTACGTAAGTCTGTGCTCTTCATATATTTCCCAAGATTTCAGTACAGATGTAGATATCTTTAAGATTGAGTATATTTCTTACACTGTGACTGAGATGTCAATGTGAGGTCTTTAGAACCATGTGCAGTACACTGTGATGAGATAACAAAGTTGTCAAATATTGTTGGTTGTTTGTTTGAATAGGTGAGTGGAAGAGTGTTGACTTGGAGCATAACTTGTCATTTAATACTGTCACCATACTGTGGACTTTTAAATGCTGTTCATTCTTAATGCCTTTCTCGTAACTATTAAGCTTACAATAATAACTCACAGTCACATCACAAGTTGTACCTATGTTGTTGCTGTAAAACTGAGAGAAGAGCATGCATGTTTGTGCCCAGAAGTTATGGTATGGTATTCACATATTTGGATTGTAATCCCCTTCTTTCCACCTCTAGTCACTGTTAACATTCCCTGTGTCATGTAAATGCTAATTTCACTCAGCTGTTAGACCTGTGTACAGCCCTGCATGGCTTTGTATCATACACAAACACATGTGCACATATGTTGCCAAGGTATGGTCTTCAAAGAACAACAGGAAATGGCTGGCTGACTCTTTGTGTTGCTTGTATTTCTGGTCTGGTTCTTAGGTGTTGGCAGAGCTTGAACTCTGTTTTGTCTTATCTATGCCTCTTACCTTCGCAGCAGGAAGATTTAACCTCATTTGACTGAAGTGAGAGAGAGAGAGAGAGAGAGAGAGAGAAATACAGGGGGAAAAAGAGTGAGAGGAAGAGTAGGCAGGGATGAGAGAAGTGTTAGAGGGAGGAAGAGATAAAGAAAAACGATGCAGGCAAAACAGGAGGTAAGCCCTTATTTGAATTTGAGAAGATTGAAAAAATTTCAGGAAAGGGAGATGTTGTATAAATAGGGGATACTGGGAGAAATGTTCATGTTGAGCCCTTTGCTGATATAATGAGTGTTAGCGGCTTATTTTACTTTCAGCACGTAGAAAGTTGCTGTCTGTTGTGACAAATGCAGATTGGCTTGTTTCAGAGGAAAGTGACTATCTTGAAAAGAGCAGATTCCTCCATAAATGACAATGTCACTCTCAGTTTTCAGGCATGCTTGGATCAAATCCAGTTTCCTGGGAGGAAAATGGAATTACCTCACAATTATCTCTGTTTTTTTATAGCATGCTTAAAGGAACATTTTTAATGGGTACTCCGGCACATTAGTATTGCTCTTCTATAAAGAATGAATTCAGAATGCTCTGAATAAAAGATAGCTTGACTTTTGGATTCTACTATGCAGGGTCAGATTAACAAACTAACCATACTGAGCCTCTTGATGCACTTATTACAATCTATTTTATATATAACCCTGCCTGAGGTTTGCTGTATGTCACTTAGGTTGTGAGAATTCGACTAAAGAGTAATTTGAGTAAGGGAATGCACCATTTGAGGATAAAATTAAATTAAATATTAAATGCCCTGAAAAACTATTTTGTCTGTCAGCTTCTTATTATGAGCATGAGGTCCTACATGGACACACAATTTTCTGCCAAAGTTGGAGCAGATTTGGTTATGTCACATGTTTATTTCTGTTTTGGCCTGTGCTGTTCTTATTGGTTTGAAGTGGGCAGGACTCAGTGAAAAATGTGATGTCACATACTTCCATGGACCAGTCAAGATTCTGCAAAATTTAATCAATCAATGTTTGCTCATCAAATCACCCCCAACCCAGATTTGCTGAGTTTGTGAGTGTAAACACTATTCCAAAATATAAGTAAAAATGGCTTTTTTAAAAAGCGTATAATCATACATAAAAATAAAAATAATACATAAAAATGAAAATTAATACATTAAAATATAAATAAATAAAAATAAAACAAACAAACTTAAATTAACTGAATTACAAATCAAGTTTAAGTAAGACATGAAAACAATAGGGTTGGGTTTCTGTTTTGCAAACTTGCTCGCGTTTATATGGAATTTTGCTTATTAAGAAATAAGATTAATAAAATCTTTTCTTGACAGGCATTCATCACAAAAAATATTTAATTTAAGTTGAGTTTCTAATTTTATTAGCAGAGTTCCTGGTAAATTCAGTCAGAAAAGCAGAGGCCTCTAAATTGAAGGGTCCTGTGTTCGAGACCCACATCATGCAAAAGAGTGGTGGTGGTGATGGTGCAGTGGATAAGACATAATGCCTTTGGTGTGAAGGACCTGGGTTTGAATCCACTGTGAGACACCAATGTGTCCCTGAGCAGGACACTTAACCCATAGTTGCTCCAGAGGCATGCGACATCTGACATGTATTGCAATTGTAAGTCGCTTTGGATAAAAGTAAATGTAAATGAAAGAGATTGGTCAACATCCATCAACCTATGGATGCTTTCATTCGTTTGATTTTCATTTGCCCAGCATCCCCAAGCAGAAGAAATTCCACCAATCCAATCTCACGTTTCCTGACGGCTATGTCAGACTCTTTTGAATACTCAAAATAAAACAAAAAAATGTTTTCACACGATTTTAATTTGTAGGCAACTGTTGCTGGCATGAGAGGGATATATTTCAGCACCAGCCGCTATCAAAGTATTTTGATATTTTTTGCCGCTAACAAAGTATATTTATAGTAATAATATAGTAATATTATTGCTGGTGGGCCAGTTTTGGCCAGCGGGTCGCCTATTGCCAACCACTGCATTATCCATTCAGGAGTGGCTGTGGTTCAGGAGGTAGAGGGGGTTCAGAAGATCAGCGGTTGGATCTTAATTAAACAATGCCTTGTCAATTTTTGTGCAGACTTCTTCTTGGACATCGAGAGCTGAGCATAAATAAGTCTAGATTGTAAAAATAAAGTTGTATTATCCTGTCGAAATTCCGTTTGAGCTACTTTTTACATTTGCATGGGAAGTAAAAATAAATATTGGGAGATGGGACAGCCCTGACACCTGACGCATCTCACGGTCCATTCTAAATCTCTTCAAAGTTTGATAGAGCAATTCAATCAAATTATTCCCAAAAGCATATAAGGTGCATGTTGATTTTTTGAAGTGTTCTCCAAATCAAAATAAATCAAGAGCTTTAAACATAAATTGAAGCTCTATAGAGTCAAAGGCCTTGAGAATGAAACTCTTATGTAGTACCAAGATATCAAGGATGAGTCTATAATTAGTGTTTAGGAATGTGATAAGATGCCAATTATCCAACATTAAGACATCTTTCTGGGGTTTGGGGATTAAGAAACCCTGGCAAAGTGAGGAAGGGAGTTCTTCATTGTTGATAAAAACATCAAGCAAAAAGGGGACAAGCTCTGTTGGGAACATTTTGTAAAATTCAGAAGTCAACCCATTTATTTAAGGCCATTTCTTCAATTCAAATCCTCCAGTAAAACTGTTGACAGGTTAGATCTATATAGAGTTTTATAATAATTTAATTTGGTCAATAACTGTGCCATTTAGGGAAAGTCTTGTTGTGCCATATTTGTTTTGCCTTTGTTTCTCTAGCTTGACAAAATAATAATAACATTCGATCCATTCAGCCCATAAAAGTATAAAAGCACATTTTACTTTGTTCAGAACTGATGTCGGTTCAATTGTAGTGTTTGTAAATGTGCTTTTGAGGCACTGACATATTTTCAGGCAACAAGAGACGGAAATTAATTCCTTCCTTCTTATCGTCATAAATTTTTGCACCTGTTTCCAATAAAGGTATCCTTAACTCTAAATTTAAAAGACCCCAATATATCCCATAAGCTTTTTCACTTTCTGCCATTCTCAGGTACTCAGATTCAATAGAATGGCTTTATGGTCTGTTAGAGGTGTCTAATAATTTAAACTTTACAGTGTGAGTAGGACAAGGATTCAGAGATTAACCATAAATCTAGTCTTCACTGTTAAGAGCCAGATTTGATTTTTCTAGTAAATTCTTTAAAGCTGGGATTGCTGACTCTCCATCAATTCAGCCTCTTTCATTCATAAAATAAATCATAAGAGAATTTTCTTTACGTCTACTTGGCCACATCATCAGTAACAATGAAATCTCCACCCAAAATAATCTTCAGATCAGTATTTCTAAAAGATCATCTATATTACTGCTTAAAGTTTCCAACAATTCTTTCCTTTCCTTTGCATTGTTATAGCCATAAACACTACTAATTAGAAAATCTGGTTATTGTAAGAAAGAAATATAAGAATGTAGTGTCCATACTCCATAGGAGTCAGCTTAAGTGAGGATGATCTACCATGCAACATCCACAAGTCCTTTCCCCATTGCGATGTCCAAAAGTTTCATCAACAGATCAGACAAAGGTTTTTGCAAAAAGAAATAATTCCTTTCATTTAGTAATGTAAAGCATTTTATAAAAGAAACAGAACTGTGACCGAAACCTCAAAGGTGGTTATATACAGAAAGCACAATTTATCATCCTAGCTGAATCCGAATGCATTCATTTTCCACTCATCTTCTTCTTCTTCAGGTAGACCTGGTAGGCGTGGATTCCATATTTTTGCCAGCTCCAGAACAAAGACTGGATCTTTTCCGGACTCTATTAACCGTGTTTTGTATTGTACCTTTTATGTCTTGCATTTCAACGGGGAGACAGTTGAAGAAAGTTGCTCCTGAATAGACTTTCCAGTCAAAAAGCCTCGCTTCTCAATAGCTAGCTTGAGCGCAGCTGCTACTATGGTGTCTGCCATTTCTTGTTCAATCTTTCCCTTCTTTTGCGAAAGGCTAATGTGCGGGCAACCTTCATTTTTGCGTTAAGCTGAAGAAGTGTGTGACATTACAGCAGATTAAATCTCTGATGCTACGTCTTTGAGTAAATTGGAGGATAGATCCACGAAAGCTTCTACCACTCTGCCACCATCTCAGCCGTCACGCTACCAGGCCTTAAGTGTGTAAAATTAGAGGACCAAAATTACATTATCAGGGTTTAGGTTAGTTGCAGCTCTAGAGCCTCAAAATATATTATATAGCTGTTTAATAGTGAGTAGTACTCCTCATGACAAGTACACTGAATATTGCTGGAGTACCTATCTAAAGATCATTAAAATACTTTTTGAAATTTAAACTTTTTTGTTGCAAAGTTTGGATTCAGAGTAAGTTCTGTGTTTTATATACAGGAAGACTAGTGTGAGTCTAGGCTTTTTACTGCATGACACTGGAAGTTTTACTGTACATAGCGACATCATAGTGGCTTTTTATAATCCCCATAGCATTTTACTTCCTGAGCTGATGGACACTGGCAGCAGGAGTGGCTGCTGTCATGTTGTGCTCTGTTGCAACGTTATTGCACCAAGCTGCCTTGGCTGGGGATATTTTTGGCTCCCACCTTGTCTTAATCCTGTCGTGATTCTCCAATGGATTATTCATGCTTTCACTCTCCCCTCCTCCCCAACCCCACCTGCTTATCCCACCTTCTTCCCCTCTCACCCCACCTCCTCTCTTTCTCACCTTCTCTCTCCTTCCTTCTACACTTCTCCACCCCCACATCCTAAGCGACTTCTTTTAACACCACAACCAGTCTTCCCCTTTTAGTATTTCACATATGTACTCATTATTTCATCATTTTTGTGCCTGCTTGAGTGTGCTCCCAGGCTTTTGACCAATCAGTTCTATAATGTATTCATTCATTAGGTTAATATAATATATGCAGTTCTCCCCATACCATCTAAATATATAAATAAATATATTACTTAATCAATAATCTTGTTATCACCTTCCTACCTTTTAATGTATCCCTTCTCTCTATCCCTTCATTTAGATTGCTTTTCTTCCAAACCTATTGAAATAGTCTAAATTCCCTATAGAGGAATGCTGTGATAATTACTTACATATAATTCTCTCTTTTGCTCTTCTCTCTACAAATTAAAAAATCCTGAAGATGTCTGGCAATGAATATAGTTGAGAATTATATAAAATGTATATTTCACAAGAGACTGAAAGTCCACCAGCCTTTGTTTTAATGTGAGAGAACAGTGAGAGTACTTTTTTACTACTGTGAAACTAGTAAGTAAGTAAGTAAGAAAAAAGTGTATAATAGGCTCAGTTGGTTATCCATGTAACTCAAGTTCTAATTCTACATCTTAGTTTATCTTAAAGAGCATGCACAGATGTTGCAGCTCCCTGACCGTTTTAAATTTCAGAGTACGTCCACACTAAGCCAGCAAAATCTGAAAATGCACCATTTTTGTTGCATTTTGGCCCTCCGTCCACTTCAAAGCCAACAGCCCGTTCTCTTTAATCTACGGACAAATTACTTTACCCTTTCAAACTCCGCGCATTGCATACACCAAAATCACAATTGTGAGTGCGTGTCATACACCAATCCTTCCCATTAACAGATTGCGGGTGACCTACAATTAATACTGTGCCTGAAAGCATCCTATGTAGACAGATGGAGCACTGAAGCTGCTGCCCTGCGAAAGTGCTGCTTTCGATACGTGGGCTGTGTAGATAGACAGTGTGCACTGTTGTTTTTCTCACCTGAAAGTTGAGCTTTTCAAAAATGGTCTCCTGAATGGATACGTCTGACACAGGTGGTGTATATTACTTTAAATGGCTGGCTGGCAGCTGTATGGCGATAAAGTTAAGGCTTTTGTTGCCCATAAACACCTCAGTGATCACTAGTTTTTAATCTAAATATAGCTGATTAATCAATACAGATGTTGGTATTAAGCTGTGTTTGTAATTGTAATTTCATCCATGTCTTAGCAGGATTGAACTGTTTGTCTAGTTAAT